TAAATATTAGAATATAGACAAGCAATATTCTCAACTAAATCAACTCATATCTAAGATAAACTATACACACTTCCTTTTCCTGCTAATTGTAATTCAATAATCATTAATATAGACAAAATACAAATATATGTGAGATGAAATCCATACCCTCACCCCCTCTTCTACCTGTATCTTTCCATGATTTTATTTGAACACAAAGTAATCCTTCCCCTTTCTTTCAATCTTCATAATTTTCCCCTTTTACGCTTCATTTTAAGGAATAATTCAACACTTAATCTATTCATTGATACAGCTGGAACTGCCACTTATGATTAAATCCAATAAAATAACTAAATAAATAACTAAAATGTTCCCTAACAATAGAACATATTTTTTATTTTCGCCACATTTTCTCAACCTGTTCTTGTCTTGTCTTGGACTCCTCTGACGAGATAGTGAACATATCTTTACATATTGCCTTCCGCTCATTGAATTATTAACATTTAAATAAACGATTTACAAATTATTATAATTTACTGCCTTTGTTATAACATTAAATTTTGCGATGTTGATATGCCATTAGAAGTATAAAAATATGTAAACAAACGTTTCAGTGGAGTCCATACATCTTTCCAATTAGAACCAACGTATTTTAAAAGTCGAATAAATAACGATCTCGACATATATGTGTGTGTATATTTATATGTATGCAAGTATGTTCATTTAAGATTCTTTGCATCTGTCTAATTGATTATTTATAACCTTAAGTATCTATATCTATACGTACTTTTCTCATTTGAATATTCACAGTATAATTTTCTTCCCTTAATCGCCGAATACTATCATTATGGGTTTATCAATCTTCCCATATTTCCTGATACATATTTCATTTATCTCATTTTAACCCAATGAACCTTTTTTGGTCCCGCACCCTCCGCTGCCGCCTAACCTAAGAGTTGCTCCGAAGGCCAGGCGTGCAAGGTATACTGTTCCTGCATCTGCAACTTTTTTTCTGTCTCTTTTTAATCTTTCTTCCTTTCTTTCACCCGTTTTTTATTAGCCCCTCTGTTGCCAGGCTCTAAACGTTGTAAACAAAACCAGATGCGGTCCAGTTAACCCGAGTTTTTGTTTGGCATTTTACTTTCGTTTTTCACTAATGTTTTTGTCAGTTAGAGGGCTATACCTGCCAGTTTTTCTCCACAGTTGTATGGTAGCAAGCCGAACCGTTGAGGCGTAACCACGTATAGATTATAGTGTTTAGTGAAGTCTTGTTTCTAAGGACACGTGGACGTTAAATACCTTGAAATGAATTGCTTTAAAGCGGATTGGGTAAACTTCAAATGTTCCTTTCCTGATTTTTTTTCTTACATTTTAAATAAACTTTTCGGTTTACAAAATGTAAATCATTATTAGTATGTATAGAATTCTCTGTCTTGGGAGAAATAATCGAAAGTAATCAGAGTAACTGGATTGATTAATAGAATGAATGATTCATACTATTTTGAAATATGTAAGTGATGATTTTGCTGTCAAGAAAGCCCGACGGATGACTGTAAAATCTTTAAGCGGAAGAGATGCATTGTGTAGTCAGTGTAATGATGTTAAACACTTATAATTGTGTGTTATTTTTGTTATTTCTGATTAGATCATATCGTTTCTGTGTAAGCAAAAATAGATATCGAAGTTCATAAAACCAAAAGATTTTTTTTTCTTCTTCATTAAATTGCCATATATATTTTTCACCAAACCTAAAACAT